ATCTTGGAAATGGAGGCTGTTCGTAACGCGGAACAAAACATTATGATTGTTTTCAAAAGTTTATACCCGAATATTGACTTAATATAGCAAAAGAAAAATGCTGCTTTTAACCATCTTAATTTAAATGAAACAAGCAAAGAAAAAGTTTCCTTACTTTGTCAAATATATATATACATATTTTAAAGTCTTTTTTTAGTAGTTTACATTTAATACAGTACTGTACCGGTATTTGCACCTTTTTTGGGGTTGGGCATGGGCGTGTCTCTCTCTGCTGCTGACTGACTGTGTATTTCCAGTTCCAAATGAGGTGTGTGGTTGACCAGTCAGTTCACAACTCCAGTGTTCATAACTCCGAGGTTCTACTGTAGATCTTGTGGTTCTCTCTTGCTTTTGGACTGACTCATGTAGCCAGTACTCACCCTGAGCCCAGACCTGCACTAAGCATGACATGTTCATGTCGCATCCTTCCCCCCTCCCCAACTTTGTATTTTTTTTTTAAACATAAAAACACTTAAGGCCTCATCATACAAACGCGAGCCGTTTCTTTGAAATCAGTAGAGCCACTTCAGCAGCATGCAGACACTAACAGCTTGGGTATGAGACTCCACTACAGCTGGGGTTCTCAAGTTATAACACTGTGGTAGCTTAAAAGGAACATACCGGTACATTCACCATAAGACTATGGGCCAGATTTACAAAGGTATTCAGGCACCTACCCACATTGTCGGTGCCTACGCACCTTTGTAAATCTGGCCTTGGATAAACAGTCATGTCTGTTCACTCACTATTGGACTTCCCCTCCCCTGCTGGCTGGGTTGCTGGTGGGTGTAGTTTGAGAGAGTGGCTGAGGAACAGGAATGGAAAGATTATTCTTTTGAATGGACAGTGCTGCTGGTCTCCAGCCCTAGGGGAGGCAGGTGAGCATGCTCACTCTGTACTCAAGTCCAAGCTAATCAGGGCCTTCGGTTCCCAATGAAACAGGTGCTAGATCGTTTAATTACAGCGGTGCCTCAAGAGGCGAGACAGGCACAGAAAAACCAACATGATTTGTAGTGAATGCGGCCTTCCCTTGACATCCCTGTAGCACACAATTCACCTCCTGGGGAGTCTATTACACAGCTAACAGTTACACTTCAGCCAGTTCATGCTAATGATTTTCAGTGCAGTCTCATACTAATTTAACCACAGAGCAAAAACATGTAGAAATATACTCACCGTACCCCAGATCCCAGAGGTACAGTCAGTTCCATATTAGCTCTGATTCACTCTTATTTCCTCTCCATCTATATTTGTTCATAATACACTAATGGGTCATTACTGAGAAACAGGCAAGGTTGCTGTGTACTATGCCCTTTTCATGGACTCATCTTTAACTAGCTGGCTAGATATTAAGTGTGACTAATGACTCTTGTTGCATCTGCTCTACAGCTGCTCAGCATGGAACCCAGGGAAGGTATAATTTAGAACTGCTTTCAAACATCGGAACTGCAACATGCAATTACATGTCAGGAAAAAAAGAATGTGGGAGAGAAAGACACCAGGGCAACTTGAGAAGCAACACAAAAGCCTCATCAACACTATAGCTTCACACACACACACAGCACCTCCTAGGAGAAACAACTGGCCTAGGTTTTCAGAAGTCTTTTGTGGGGGGGGGGGGTCTCAGTTTTTGAGTGAGAGGTTTCAGAAAACCAGGCCCCCTTAAAGCTTGATTTTCAGAAAACAATGAGCATTTGACCTCTGGAAGAAGAGGCCCCTTTAAAGATGTTTCAGATTGAGACACCCAAAGTTTACTAGTCACTTTTGAAAATGTGGACTAACAGAGCTTAAACAACTATTGTTGCTAGAAGGGTTCTAGCAAGGTTTCCTGGACCAGCGCAGAAAGAGTCTTTTTGGAGGTTTAGATTTTATCTGAGAACACAGTTACAACAACATTATAAAATCCTGTTACAGACAGCCTGAAGCAGCCACTTGTGGAATTTGGCTTCAATGATTCTCAGACAACCCTCCCCCCATCTTTACCCAATCTCATCAGGGGAACTAAATTGGAATATTGAACATGATTAGTGCTAGTTTGCTTTCACCCATAGATGGGACAGTCAGGGCCTTGAGAGCAAAAGTCACCTTGATGTACCATGAAGAATTAATTAGCTGAACAATGAAAAGACGTTATTCCTGACTAATTCATTCGACAGCTGACTGGAAAGAAATTCACTGAATAAGGTATTTGAGATTATTATTCACAGAACTCTAGAAATAAGGTCACAAGTTTCATTATACTGACAAAGACTTGAGCTTTCTGAACTGTAAAAATAGAAAGTGTGTAAGGACAAAAACAGTGGGTCAAGATCATGCTCCCCCATCCTGGGCGGGAAATGGTCTGTTGCGTTAAACTTAATAATGTCGAAAACCAATATTTAGTCATGGAAGCATTTTCATAGCAAAGCAGGCTTGTTCTGCAAGATTGCCCTCCACCGAAGAAGAACGAGATTTTTGCATAGCTGGTTTTAAACAGCTGATTTGACACTGTAAACAGGCCCTTACAGTAATAAATGTGTTTTCTAGAGCAAGAACAGAGGCCCAAGCAACAAAGAAAAAAAAAAAGAGAGAGAGAAAGAAGAAAAGCAGAGAATGACAAGATTTTGAGAACCTCAAAGGAAAGACTATAAAATGCTAAGTGACCTGTAAATATTAGGGGTCTAATCCTGATCTCAGTGACACCAATGTAAATCTGGAGAAACTTTATTGGCATCAACACATTTACCCCAGATTCACACCCACATAACAAAAAGCAGAACATAGTGCAGAGGGCTGAATTTCCCACTCATGGGGAGAGCCCTCTAGACCAGTGGTTCTCAGTCAGGGGTCCCCTGTGGGGGCCGCAAGCAGGTTTCAGGGGGGATCCACCAAGCATGGCCAGCATTTAATACACTGGGGCACTGAAGCCTGAGCAATTTAGATTTGCGGTGCCCCCTATGGCATGGTGCCCTGGGCAACTGCCCTGCTTGCCACCCCCTAATGCCAACCCTGGCTTTTATATGGAGAAAAACAACCAGTTGTTGTGGCACAGGTGGGCCGTTGAGTTTTTATAGCATGCTGGGTGGGAGGGCGTCAACGAAAAAGGTTGAGAACCCCTGCTCTAGATGGCAAAAACTGTTTCCCAACTCCATGGCTACCCGCTCTGATCTCAGGCAAAGGGCTACGTGGAACAGGGAAGGGGCCCAGCTTTGGAGTCACACATTTGTAGGGAGATCCTGCTGCAGCACCACTGATTGTGGGTACCTCTGTGGGGAGCTAGCGCTCCTTCCCTTCAGCATGTTTCCTCCAGGGGCTGTGGTGTCATCAGCCCCCTCTACTCCTATATCACCTACTCCAACTGGAGCAGCAGCAAGGAGGGCATGTACAAGCCATGGAGCTGGCATTAACTATGCAGAGAACAGTGTTAATTTCTGCGGGAAAAACCCTCTGGGTTGCTACCGGAGCACGGCTCAAAAAACAAAAAACAAACAAACAAACAAAAAAAACAGTTTCTTCCCAGCTCTGCTCCAATTTTAACCCAGTTTCTCCTCTAAAAAAAGAGTCAAAATAAACTGCAGATGTGGTTTGGGAGGAGGGAAAGCCTTCTGAAAAAGCTTCCTTCCCCATTTCCAGGCATTTCAGACCCTTTGCATCAAGGTTTCTGCTCCTTTGCTCTGAATAATGCAGCCAGGGTTGGGTAACTGGCTCTCTCTAGAGGATCCAAACACTTCACTTCTCACTGAAATGGGGTAACTCTGGGGTGCTGTTTTACAGCACAAAGCAATGGAATAAAACAGGCAGTGAAGAAGGTGCCTGCATTCAACTGAAGCCGCAGGGGAATTTAGGAAGGCAGGAGACAATCACTCAAATTGAGACTTTGGCCAGGACATTGGGGCCAATGCTCCAACTTCTCTGAAAAGAGCTTGTTCACGACCAAAAGTGATCAGACCTCAGTTTTACTTCTCACCCAAAAAACAGGTGAATAAAAAAAAGAATGAAAAAAGTGCAGAGGCAAGAGACCACAGCTCCAGATAATGAGCAAAATACATTTGACTAAAATAATGTAATGACTAAATACATTTAAAAATAACTAGAATTCATTCAGATGTTCCTGTTTCTGTGCAAACTTCTATGGGAGTTTTTGGCATCGGCTTCAATGGGAGCAGACAAAAATCAGAGTGAAACATGGTTTATATGTAAAAAGGCAGAACAAACGGCTGAATGATTTCAAGGTAATGTTTATCGGAATTTCAAGGTAATTTTTTTTCAAGGATTTCAAGGTAATGTTTATCAGAATACTAGTACAATGCTGTGTACAGTACATTGCTGTGTGCACAGGGCTTTCAAAACAGGGCAACAACCTCACAATAGCTGAAGAGGTACATAAGTTAGCCCTCTTCTCCCACTGAGAGAGATAAACTGCTTGATTCTACCTCCAGCTACACCAGCGATTATCAGACCTGCCTAGTTTCAAATGGTCCAGAGACTCTGAAATATCTAAGAGTGAAAGGGTCACGAGATCCCTGCATTGTTTGGGAGACACTGGAAAGCCGAGCAGGGGAATCAAGAGAGAGCCAGAGTTTGAATGCTGCACGGAGCTCACAGCAGCAAAGCAAAACTCAGCAGGTAACTCAAGGATTCACATGCAAGAGGTAAGATCAGGTCATCTTGGATATCGTATTCACAAAGGATGTCTGTCACCAGAGCAAAACACACAGCCTGGTGTGGAGCTTGGATTCACTTGGACGTAGTGTTCTGCTGAGACCGGACAAAGGTCTCACCTCCAAAGATTAGAAAAAGTCTGCATTCTTGCTCCCTTTAAGATGCTCACAAGGGGTGCTGGGCGGAATGAGGGTATACAACATTTCTGACCATTATGCTATATATGCCTACTTCTCCGTTCCGCCTCTCTGTGTGCTGTGCATATGAAAATCCCCTCCTGTAAGTAACTCCCAAGGTATCTAATATGCAGGCCAGCCTACCTTTGCCTTTCACGTTTAAGCCATGGTTTATCCCCTCCGAAATTCAGGGTAAGGATCTTTCAGTCTCCTTGATCCCAGACAAGGAGGTCCTCCATGTGAACAGGGAATATTGAGTTAAGCGCTCAAAGACCAAAGCAGCATCCAGGCAGCTCAGCTGGGGAGCAGAACGCTGGGACCTGCTGTTTCCAAGGGTGCAACGCTCGGACCCGTCTCTAGCCTTCAGCTGCACAAACAGACCTTCCCAGTGTCCAGCAGAAAAGATAATCCAATTGCTTCAGAAGGTCCACCCCCCGCCTCCCCACCACACACAGAGCTTCAGCAGCCTTCTCTGGCTTACACAGAGCTTTATTATCTCCAGGACACCAGGTCTCCAAGTACCACAGTGAATGGGAGAACACACACTACCATTTATTAACAACTGCTCCCCCATTCCTCTCTCCCCCTCCTTCCATCCCAACTCTCTCGCTGGATCTCCCTCATGCATAATGCAGGAGTTGTAGCCCTGGACACTACCCACTCTGTACTCTGCGCCTCTCCGAGTCAGCTGAGAACAGGCTTGAGTGCCAGTCAGGGCCTATCCCCGTGTTCCGCACACTGGAGGCCAGACACTCTTGTACGGCAGAGGTTTGTTTGTTCCAAACGCAGCCTCGTTCCGTTTCAGCCCTTTTTATAGAGCTCTGCACTGATGAGACAGCTCCACAGAGCACACATCAAGCTCACAAAAAGCCAGGAAGTTCTGCTCTCTCATACCCCACTGAGAGTCCACAGAAGGCAGTGGGGGGGCAGGGGGAGAGGAAGAGGGGCTCAGCTCTGTTACACCAATGCATTTGGCCCCATATATTGTGGAATAGCTTCCAGCAGTTTAACTCAGATTATTAGCATTTTAGTGAGGATTTGTAATACTACATTGCCCTTCTCCAGCACCACCAGCCATGAATCTCAAAGGGCTTTATACCTCGAACTACCCATGCCACATTGACACACATCACAACCCTCATTTTATAGATGGGGAAACAGAGGCACAGAGGGCAATGGCATGTGCACAAGGGCATACCTAGAGGAGAACGGACTTCTAAAGAGAGTTAGTGGAGGAGACAAGAATAGAACCCACAAGCCCTGACTCACAGTCCACTTATCTAACTACTTGACCATCCTTCCTCATTCTTTTAAAATATTAAGACTTCTTTTACTCATATTAATAGGAACCCACTAATATGGAAAACAGAGTTAGAACTAGTCAACAAGCCAGAATGTCCAGAGCTCAGAAAGGGAAAAGAACCTTCTGCTGGTTTCAGATGATACCTCTTGTTCCCAAAAGGCAGATGGGGTGGAAATCAGACAGCCAACAGAACTGGAAGGAGAGAAGCAAGCCAGACAGCTAGGAGAACCAAAACAGAGACAAGGAAGATGTGAGGAATAAAAATACTAAGTCTGGCATGGGCACATCTGGAACTCACTGGAGACAGAACAGGGGACTTATACACACTCAGTTTGCTAGATGGCTTGGATGCCCTAGATCCAGGTTTCCACTTAAAGGCAGCCATACTCCCTGCTGCCCAACCCTTCAAAATCCCACAAGGCCCTTAACTCAGTTAGGTTCTCAGGGACTTTGCAAGGACTGGAGCAGTATGCCAGGGAATCATTGTTCCTTTCCTTCCATGATTTTCAGTTCAATTTCACATACCCTTCAGAATGGAAGAGCGCATGCGTCCTTATATACACAGAGAGAAATTTCTCACCACTATGCAGACATGCGGCTGCCTGTAGGGTGGTGGATGGCAACTAGTCAGAGGACAGGTACATGGCATGATGCACATCAAGAGAAATATTTTGGTCAGAAAGTTCCTACTCTTAGGGAAAGCACTATGTGATCTTTAAGGGCTGCGCACCAAGACAGATGCAGTTTCTAAGGGCCACATGGCATGGAACTCACTTCATGAAGCCCAGAAAGACAAAGTGCCAAAGTGAATCTGTTGGACTGTTTACCGGTGGTTCCAGGAGAGAAAGTCTGGAGAACACCTGATGTTCAGCTATTCCCTTATTCGTCACCTAACTAAGGTCCAGATCTTGGTGCTCCAAATGCAAGCACAACTTCCATGACCTTAGTTGGAGTTCTGTCTACATACAGTGTTTGAGATGAAGCCCAAAGTGCAAACCATTACTGCATATTACGGAATCTCTGGAACTCCTAACAAACGGAGTTAAAGCACTAAGCACACCCGCTTTGGTAACAAGATATCAGAGAAATTAACAGACTGTACTCCCTATTAGAGTGAACAGCTATGGAGTGGCTTTTTTAATGCTGTATTTATACTGGCCATGGCAGAGAAAGCAAAAAGCAACTCACTTTGAGCTCTGCCGGGGCTTGATCTTGAGAAGCAGGAAGCAGTGAGCTCTCTTCTTGCTGGGCCAACACTCTCAACTCCCGAACACGAACAATCCCGATGGCTCCCTTTGCTCCCAGCAAGCAAGCCCTGCCACCGAGAAACTCACGCAGCCGCTGCCTGTGACTTGAGAACGGAGTCTTTCCCAAAGTCCAGTCACCAGCCGAGCTGAAATCCAGACACCTTTCCTTTTCCAAACAGCAGCATCAACAATGACGGCTGGGCAACACGCAACGGGCACCTGAACCCTGAGCTGGAGCACCTCCAAACAAAACCAACTTACCAGCCGCCTCCCCTACCAGCTTCGCTCTGTTCTGCTGAATCACTTACTGCGTCGTCGGCAGTGCTGAGGGGGCAATTTTACTGAGGCTCGTACGGCTCAAGCCTAGGACGCAGTGCACAGCAGCAATAACTGCATCTTTAACTCGCATGGCGCTGTGGCACAGCCCAATGAGAGGATAATTACTTCACAGCAGGCGCTCCTGTAGCCCAAACTGGTCTGCCCCTGGATAGAACTGTCTGCTCCTCTAACCGTTAAATGCTTGTGCGCTGACCGAGAACTAGCTGCAAGCAATGTTTCCCCTGAGGCGGGGATTGCAAATATGACCGTACCTGGGCTAGGTGTGGAAGGGAGGTTACTTCCAGCAGCCAAAGGATATGCTAGGGACAGCCAAAGTTGTCTCCCTCACATTTCAAAACACTCCAGCAGCATGGGCTGGATAGTTGGACTTCAGAGACAGGGTGATGCAAGGAACAGAGAACGGAAATCCAAGCGGAACAAATAGAAGTAGGGTGCTCAGAGGCAGAAGAGCAGAGAGGGGGGAATGGAAAAGATTCTTATGAAATAATAAAGACAGTGGCCTGGCTTTCGTACACAGCATGCAGCTACCTGCTCTGTACTTGTTAAAGTATAAAATGCAACCAGGTCAGAATAGCAGCATTTCACTCTCACTTCACACGGCTGTAACTGACAGCACAAGGTGCAGAGTAATGAAGAATCTGTATAAACTGTCTACATGGAGCACCCACTCCTAACTGGGGTGGGGTGGGGCTGGAGATGGGAGCGATGGGTGCTTGCATCCCTACTGCACATGGTTTTAATGGATGAAACCCAAAGTAACACTGGGGAAAGAGTTTGAGAGAGAGAGAGAGAGAGAGAAACCTGAACTCTGGGAGATTTACACACACACACACACACACACACACACACACACCCTTAAAAATCCAACTTAGCCTGTAAAAAAGGAGGGTCTCGGTTATAAGGTTAAAAGTGTTACTCAATGCAGGGCAGGAAATGTCCTCAGGAGGAGGAGAACTGTATGGCTGCAGGACGGTGCTTTCCATGTGGCATTATTTATATTACACACAGTTTTTTTCCATTCATGATGAAGCAATGTATAGTAATTTTTAAGGGGGCGGGGGAAGGAGAGAGAGACGCTCCAGGTTCCTCCACTCCCCCCGCCCCCAAATATGCCTTCAATCCTCAGTAGCTCCACATCCTAGTGGAGTCTGCAGCATCTGACCTCCTCCAGGGCTTGAGGATGTTCTGCATCAGAGGGGAAGGCTGGAAAGCGACTCAAGTCCCTTCCTCCATCCCAAGGAACAAGCATGCTGACTCTACAGGGCTCTAAGCCACTGCCTGCCCAGGAGACGGGGCTGCCAGCTTGGATCCCCTATGCGATGCAAAGCACTTGACCACGAGACTCTAGGCGTGACAAGTTATTGAACATGTTGCTGTATTCAGAACTGTGTGTTCCCTGCATATTACCAGCACAAGGGCTTCCTCAATCATCTAAAGAGCCCTGAGTCATGCCAAACAATGGGCCGTGTTTCAGAGTAGCGGCCGTGTTAGTCTGTATCTGCAAAAACACACACAACCAAAAAAAAAAAAAACCTACAACACACACCAGGAGTACTTGTGGCACCTTAGAGACTAACAAATTTATTAGAGCATACACATCCCTACTTCTAATTTTTCCCCATGGAGGAGAAGGGGAAGTTTATATGCTACATTCACCATATAGCCTACAGGCAGATCAATAGAAAAAGGTGTTGAAACCAGACCTTTGAAGTTATGTAAACTAGAGACATACTCAAACATCTGAAACTGGATCTAGGATATTAAACATTCCAAGATTGGGGCAGTTTGGAACCATGTCTTTGGTTTAGTCCAATACAAAGAGATAAATCCACGTGCATCCCAGTTCAGATTTTGAACACTCCTGAAGTTCAGATACTGGGGCTCTGTTTTGAGCTCTTCTCTTGCTTGATCTTAGTTCTTATTGCTTTAATTGCACATGGTGAGTTAACAAGCTTGACACCAGTAACTCTCAGCTCTGAAACAACACATCAAAGAGAGGTAATTTAATTAAAACATGGACCACAGTCTTTAGGCCTCCTAGTTCTTCTGATAATTATGAAAACAGATTGAAGGGAGGGGGAGAGAAACCTTTGTTAGGTTAATTGTATGAAGCCTCGCAATGAAATACGTCTTATAAGCAGCCTGATTTCCCTAGAGGGCCATGTGCAAACTTGACTATAGGCTTTTGTGGGCGATAAAGAGGGGAATTTCCCCCTGAAAGAGTGAGAGACAAGGATTAATCAAGAACAGAAGAGATAAACCAAAGGGGAAAAAAAGCTTCCATTTCTCAAAGCACTTGAAAGGAGGTATCCACCACCAAGAGCTGCAGTTTTGTTGCCATCTTATTAATATGCTGTTTTCATTTCACTGATTAGATGGGAATAGGGGGGAAACCCTTCCTGGTATAGAACTATCTTCCCAAGTGAAAAGACGCTGCGTCCCCTGGGAGATCTCAGCAGTCCAAAGACTTCCGACAACACCATTTTTATGGATGCATTTGTACCCACCCGCTTGCCATAGCAGAAGGTGCCCTCAAAGATGCAGTTTCATCCCCTGA